ATCAATGAAAACATGAACGTTCTGATTACTATCCAGTATGCCAGACTGAATATTAAAGCTCACTAATAGGTTTCCAACTCAAAAACATTTTTAGGTTTAATTACACATACCCATCACTTAAAGTAACTGAAATTTCACATTAACCGGTTGGTTAATAGTAACTGACGTCTTACGAAATTGAATTGTACCCATTAAACTGAGTAACTCAACAGAACGATACACTTTATTTGAATCAACCAACAGAAAGCTCTTGGGTAGAGATTCATTTCAATCAGTTATCGTCAGCTAGTCATAATTTCACTCGACAGAAAATATTTCTCATAAGAAAGCGTTATCACTGAGCTGTTCATGGTGTAACTGACCTTCTTTAATAGTGAATTATTAAAATAAGCTAACTGATCATTTATTAATGACTGATCTCATGTTATATATATATATATATATATATATATATATATATATATATATATATATATATATATATATATATAATATGCCTCAATATTTTAATCTTTGGTGTGATTGATGGAATTATCACTTGTTCTACCTACTTTAGTTACAGACCATTTGCTGTTGGTGACAAGTAATGTAAATTATTCGAATTCATCTAAGATATATCTATTCTGAGACAAATTTTCAGTGTTTTTTTAATGGAAAGATATTGTATTTCGTTGTGGCCTCTTGTTTCATTACTAGAAATTAATTTTCTGTTTTTATTTACATCTATGCATACTTATACATAACTTTGGTACAAAATATTACTGTTTTTGTTTTCAAAATAAAATAATGTACATAGAAATTGTGGAAATAATTGTAAGCTTTATTACTATTATTAATAATATCTGCAGTATAAACATGCTTTGTTGATCTAATTGATGAAAATCTACAAATCCCCATAGCAACAAGTTGATAAAGCCGGTTACTAACAATAACTGTTCAAATTGTCAAGGAAATGTACTTCATAAACATACATTTATATACTTACGCTTATTGGTGCATTAGATATTTGCTTATACAAGCCATTTATTTTTCTTTTATGGACACAATAGAAAGGTCATTTTTTGTATGAATAAATAGAAAACAATGGAAAAAATGTAAAGAGAAATAGTGACAAAGAATTATGTAAATAAGTGTATTCTTTCCAGGTATTTTAAAACATTTGATACCTGATAAAGTGTGTGTATATGGCAGGGAAAATTAAGAAAATTAATAAAATGAACTGAAAATAGGTAGAAAGGAAAATTTTAACCAGTTTTCCTTAAATATATAAGTTATTGATATCAAACAATACATTTTAGTGAGGGAGAAAGAAAGAAACACACTGTTTTCTATGAAATCATCTGGTACGTAAAACAATGAACACTGTTGTTAAGTCCGTTAGTAATAATATTGTTACTAAACTAACGAAACAGTACACTCAACAATAAAAAAACACAACAGAAACTATAGAATGTAGAGTTAAGTGGATTGTGAAGATCCGTTCACATTTTGACTGGTTTTCTTCACGAAAAAAGTGTTCAATGTGGTTTTCTTAATTGGTTCTATGCTTGCATCTATGTGGTTGTTTAGTTCGTTGAAAAATACTAAAATTTATTGTAATCGGAAAATAATGCAACTGGATTATTCGTCATCACTCCAATATTGTAAAGTGTGGAGGCTTAACGATTTAAGTTATCATTAAGCACGTTTTTGATAAACTGGATAAACCTCTCGTGACGTTATCTCAATAAGTGACAGTTAGATTGGTAAAATTGGTAAGATTCACTTAGCATTTTAAGCATTAAGTGATTGAACGCAAGAAACTCCAAAAATATCTCTCCTCAAAGTCCCTATAGATCCAAGTGACTCCTGGAAACATTTTATTCAGTCAGGATTTAACAGAAGCTCATGATAAGCATTTAAGAAAATGAATGATTATGTGTTACGTTATGATTGAATAACTACTTTTATTATCATTGTATTTAGTGTGTCTCCTGAAGTTTTCAGAAGATTAAGGTCACATAAACCGTAAAAACACTTGAATTTCTGCACATGATTAATCTTATTCACATTTCGTGCACTTTCTCTATTGCTCGATTTGAAGTGCAGGTGTAGTCTGGGGTTATACAAGGTGGCTGCAAAATTGGAAGTTAGCGTTCAAGTAAATGGCTTATAACCATCAAAATAAGAATTATGCGATTATCATAAAAAGTTTTCATTACTTTTGTTTAATATATTTTCATAATTAATGCCACCTCCCACTTCTTATAAGCTTTATAAACGCAAAATAAAAATTATTTTCGGACTATAAGGAATCAATTTAACTCTGTCTACCATAACCCTTCCACGTGCGTCATAATATACTTTTAATTAAAAGAAAATACCTGCAACCAAATCTTTATACCATAGAATAATGATCATGTTTGGTTAAGATGTTCGTAGCGTTAGTTAGATATCGGACATTCCCCATGGATTTATATCAAATGAGGAACTTTTGAAAATCGTATGGTTCACTAGGTAGCTGTCTTTTTCCAGAAAGCGGAACACTTCATTTCTCAGCACTTATGACTCTGTAACAGAATGAAAGCGGGTGCTTAATGTTTCTTTGTGAGTTGTACAATTTGTATATGCAGATGAAATTTAAAAGGTTTTCATGAGAAAATGTAAGTAATGATTATTCATGATAGTATTAATTATAACATAAGTAATACATAACCTCTTCGGATTGTATATAACTTTTTCACGCTTAAAAGTGAATTCTATCATATAATGACGTCAGCTGAAGAACTAACCGAAATCGGGAAGCAATAAGCAGTTATTTTATACTAGTTTGGTATACCTCAGTAGTATATAAGCATAAACAGAAACAAGATTGAATCTAAAAACCCCTACGTTAGCAATAATTTAGTAACTCATCGCTGATAGTGCGCGAGTATTGAGCGAGATTACGCGTAGAAGAAAGTTGCAAATCGAGAATCCTTAAACTTTGACTCGGTTGACTAGAGATCTCGGGATCGGATGGTACTAGATTTAATTAATTGTGAGACCAGGTATGATCAATTGTTGGAGGGCTATTGTAAAAAGGCGGTTTATTCAGTAGTTCTTGGTTTTTAATAATTCTCTACATGGTATCATTCGTTCTTAAGTATACCTCTTACAATCAGTAATGAAATATGTTGCCGAAAACATAACTCACAGCTTTAATCAGGAACTAATATTAGCTAGACCGAAGAATTCATGGAGCACTATATAGTTATTTCAAAATAGTATGGGATATCTTAGCAGTGAGATCTCACCAACCTTTAAACAGGATCATTTTGTTTTTGATTTAAATATTGGAAACTCTACAACCTCCACAAACCCCCAATCATAAATACATGATTTAATAATTTCGATCTTCATTTTGTATATATTTAATAATATACTGGGTAGAATAAATATTGTTCGTTTGATCATGTATATATTGGATCCTGAGTAACGTAGCTAAATTCTTCACTACAGTTTCATGTACCTGGCTTAGAGCCATATTGTTTTTGTAGAGTTAGTGATACTATCCTGTTCGAACCGATGTAGGTGAAATGACCTACATTTTAAGAGTTAAATCTACTAACCATTAGGTAACTAATGTCTGAAAAGTATATCACAAAGATCCTAATCCTACAACTAATGCTACATATTTACTATTAATTTAGTCAATGTTGATAAAGACAAGAGTTATTTGTTAAGAATAATAGGTATGATTGGTAATTTAAATTTTCTTATGTGAATTAATTTATGGTCTTTATTTCATGAAGAATTTTTATTTCAGCGCTTCATATCCTTCCACACTGATTACCATACACCCCATCTTTATCTTATAAAATATTTATTTTCCTCCACTTTAACATGTAGAGGCAGACATTCGAAAGAGAATGGAGTAGTGGACTTTGTGCTTGTTTCGATGATCTACCAACATGTGAGTGTAATAATTCTGCATAAAACCAGTAATATATTATCTCAATAAATTAGTCATTATTCTAACAATATGACTTAGAAGTAAGACAATATACTTGTCGTCAACTAGATTAGAGAGTGTAAACAATTTGATTTCAACGTGGTGACTTATGATGGTAACGATTCTCATAGGAACTGGTTGTTACTGGTTCAATCTCACATTATGTCGTGCTCAATAGATGTTAAGAAGATAAGAAAAGAAAATTGAACAGTGGTTTGTGATATTCCAAAAAATCTCCAGCTGGTATCAGTCTGTAATAAGATTTATTGTCGTCACAAAATCATCCTAATTTATTGGTTGGCTTCGCTTACATTACATGTATTTTACAAGTCTTGTAATCTTATTTTAGGAAGTTTTAGTCTACTATTAATATCTCAATTTAGCTTTAATAAGAGACTGATTATTTAGAACAGAGAGGGAGCTATGAAATGTTTTTTTGTTGAATAGATTCATTTATCTAATATGACTATATATCGTACACGTTGGTAACTATCGTCCGTCTTTTTGATCAGCAAAACAAAAGTATAAATCTGAACCTCTTATCAATACAATGATCAACATAACTGTGTTTCGATAATCGAATACTAATCATGGAAAAAAAAGAAGTTCCTGCTGTCGAAAAAGCATCGAAGAAACACATACGAAAATCCAGAACTACTACCTTCGGATCTATATTAGTCCTCTCGGTGATACTATTTCCCGTCTTTAACGGTACATATTAATGGCATACAACTGTGTGTAGACAGCATAAGATCTCATGATTCTCGCTGCTTGTGATCTAGGTGGTCTTTATATTTCTTCCGAAAGAGTTGTGGAAATGATGACATTTAATTATCTGATTGTGATGCTTACTGGTAAATTACAATGAATGTTTCAGTAAATACAATCAAATAGTCTTGGATAATTATCATTCTATTTGTACTACAGTGTGATTGTGTCATTTTATTGTGAAGGCGCAACCAGATTTTTGGTTGTTCTTTCACTAATATCAATGAACAGCTAAGACTTTTCCTAAATGAAATAATTTCTGATATGTACCTTAATTAAACAAATATTTTACATAGAATTAGTGCAGACAACACACAATTTATTCTATTTTGCGCTTGTTTAAAAATGTTTGTGTTTTTAGGTTGTCTAGTTCTCTTCTGTCCTCATTGTTACATGTGTTATTTATATAATAAAGAAGGGGAATCATGCTGGATTCCATTCTGTGGTGCAGGCATTTTACCATTACGTGTTAAACATCGTGTTATGAACAAAATAATGGTAACCTTTAACATTATATTTTATTTATCTTTAATTATGAAATTATTTATTATGTTGTATACATTAAACGCTTAAAATAGTCGACAATATTTATGGCTCATATGGATAATTTTGCTAGGGTATCGTTCTCTGAGCTGAATGGTATAACTGAGGAGCTTTCTCCGTCATTGGGAACATCATATTCAAAAATTAATATATCCAGATTAAAGTATACACCTTCACTATAATGAGATCTATTTTGGATGTTAGTACCCTATTTGAAGAGCGAACTAATGATTTTTTAGTGAGTAAACAAGAATTTACGCCGTAGATATTGTGTTCCATGTCGGTCATTATTGTTGTCGAAAACGAAGTAGGTTAACCTACCACATACATATAAAGTGCAAACTAATATTCGTAGAATGATGAAATAAAATACTGTCGAAGGATAAGAACGACGGAAAATATTTTATCTCAATGAATGAATTAAGCTAAACGAACGTAGAAAATCAAGAATATCCCGAACTAGAGAATTACGAACTATTACAAAAATTACGTCCCCTTCATGAAAACTGAATCATCTTATTGAAATTTCGTAGTATTAGTTATGGCGGGCTCAGCTTTTAGAGACTGACCTCTTTTTGAAAACTAGCTCATTGACCTAGAGTACACAGATGAAACCGTCCTGTCACTTGGTTTTCGTCAAATCGCACCAATGCGTCTGCCCATTAACGCGAGGGTATACCATTGTTGGGGACGATAAATCCTCCAAAAACTCACATTTGTGATTTTATCGATTAACTTATAGATTAAATATTTAAATAGCAATCAATTGACGAACTTATTGATGAATGTTTAAAGATTTAAATGACAATATCGATTATATATATTTGTATATATACGTTTTAAATGGTTTTAGTTGAACCGCTCGTTTCTGGTTGTTACAGAATATACTTCTCATTTCAAGCCTGGACTTCTCCATCTAGATAGCTGGAGCTGGGACGCGTCATCAGCTAACTCACTGGTCGTTGGTCACCGAATCACGATCTCGTTCGCAAACTACGTGAACCCTTGATAGCTCCCTTTTCAAATCCTAACAACCATAAAACAATACAATCTGTATTACATTATGGTTGCAAAACGTTATCTGTGAAAGTAAAATACGTTGAGTGGGCTGGATGACTTTGTTGAAGTAGAGCTAGAATGTTGTGAAACGACTGACAGGACTAAGATTAGAATCAAGGTATTATGCAACAAAAAGAAATCAGCTGACGGCACTTAAATATTCATAGACTGAGGTGAATCACATCTGCTTAAACATCTCGTTATTAGAAGTGTAATGCTGGTTGTAGTATAAATGGGTTAGAAGAAAACTAGTAGCGATCAAATCAAGAAGTGAAGTCAGTTCATAAAATATTTGACAAGTGAACTTTCTGTATGTGTAATCTGCCTGGTCTGAGCCATCTCAGTAACCGGGATTTCTGGTTAGAGATTCTACGTGAATATGTCACAATGATGTATATGCATTTACTCTTTATCTTACTCCAGATCTTTAGCTCCAATATTGCTTCACATATATCTTTTCATTCACTTTCTGACCATATTCCAAATATTGAATCTCTCATCATCACTAATGCTACTAATTTGATCTCCTGTCTGTTCAACTTATTTCTCTCATCTCGTTTTATTGATATTATGTGAGGATTCGACTCATGGTACAGTTAAGTCAGGCTCTATGATTGACTAGTTGCTATAATGCTTTAGTCTACCAGTGAGTTACTTCAATTCTGACTTATGAATTGAAAAAGTCATCTATTGATTCAATGTCGCTCGTTTATTTTGTCCATTTCGACTGTTTTATTAACTCATTTGCTGTCCCATCTTTCATTACAGATTGTGGATATGATTTTATTTATCACACACATTTCATTTAGATTTATATGTAGATTGTTTTTTTTCAAATATTAAAACAAAAGATATATTTCTTGAAGTTATTATATGGTTATAAAACAATTCCTCGTACAATAATCAGTAATATCATATGTTTATTTTTTGAAGTTTATGGGCTTTTTAAAGTCTCGAATGTGTACACTGAACGTATATAATAATTAGCCTTTTCAAAAGTGTTCCACTATACTTCAATTCATGATTGTACAATTTGAGCTAGGTAACATATTTTTATCTTTTAAGTTTATTAAGATGAAATAAAGAAGTAAAATGAAGTTTGAACCTTATAAGCAGTAGGTTGATAATGTTCAATCTGTGACTCGAATCCAGTACTGTTCGCTTCAAACCCCACCCAGTTGACGAGTCCCAAATAGGGTGAAACGCGCGTCCTGGATTCCACTGCTAACCATTATCCATCTTTGCTTATAAAAGCTTGTGAATTAAGGCAACATTGAGACATTCGGCACAGTATGCATATATGCCAATAACAGACTGATCAATTGCAGTCTTAAAACTCAATGGGAAAATACAAGCAAAACAATGCCAAGTGAATATAAGTACTTCTTATTTTAAAAAAACATGTACATATTGTGTGATGATAATTACTTTTCTATTGAAATAACTATTTACTTAACTTGTGTATATTGTTTAAATTTCAGGGTACTCTAATGAACGATGTTTGTACTACATGCTTTTGTGGACAATTAGCTATATGTCAATTAAAACGTGATATAGATTATGCAAAATCTACAAGAATGGAAATCTAAATGTATTACATATATACAGAGAGAGAGAGAGAAGTATAGTCAGGTTTTTCTTGTAAACATCGAAAAACTATTCTGCTGATTATTTTTTAAATGTTCAATTTTACATTTTGAAATGTTCACTCGTTTTTTTTCAAAAATAATTTTTTTTTAGAAAAAATCATAGAAATTTAACACTTAAACAGATTATTATATTAGAATGAATGATTCGAATGCAATTTTCCAATGAAAACAAACAAACAGACTTGTTTGTATTGAACTGCTCTTTTTTATTGGGTTTATAAAGATAAAACAAAACAAAAGAAACAAGAGATAGCTTTCATTTAGAATGAATGAAAAATTACTGGGTTTTTTTTTTATTTATTTCAAAATATCACTGTTTGAATTAACCAGTGTTTTTGATTATTGTCCCACAATCAATTTGTAGAAACTTGAGCGCTGTTGTTTTATTAGTGTTTTTTTAAAATAAATGTTTTAAGTACGTAGCTGACTGTTATATTAAACTTTTAAGAGATTATTATAAAAAAGTCTGTTAAAATTCCAATGATTACGTAAATTACATGAAAAGAAAGGGGTTGTAGCGTGGAGTCGAGTCGCGCTTGACTATGAACACCACTACAAGAAGACTACGTGCCAATTAACCAAAAAGATCCCCGTAGGCCAATATCAGAAGGCAGATTATGGCTGTAGTCGAGACGTATTTGTTGGCGATCTCGTGGTATCGAAAGGATACCGAGATCGTGCCAAATGAGTAAAAGCGTGGTTACTAAGCGTAACCGAATTCGTACAAGTTTAAAGTCAACGGGAGAGTAAGTGTAATGGCTGTCATTAGCATAGTTAAACAAACGAGCACAGTAAAACAGTCACTGGTACAATTGGTTATAATAATAATTGTTTTTATTAAACCAATCGCGTTCTGTTGACAGAGTTTTGTGGATATTAATAGTTGAATTCATAAGTCACTTGAAACTAAGCAATCATGGAAAGCCTGTATGAATTGGATGGCCGTTTCGTATTAGTATGGGACTCCTAAGCAGTGAGCATCCACGATCCTGCCCCGCAAGATTTGAACACAGGACCTATAGGCAGTAGATCACTGAAGACAATGGCGTACAGTGGCTCAAGTTCGTGTATTGGTTGAAGGTAGACATTACCACGGTTGGATGCCGGATCAATGGTCCATGGGTTAAGTGTTCGCTCGCGAGACCGAAAGTCCTAGGTTGAATCGCACGTGAGGGATCGTGGATGCGCACTGCTGAGAAGTCCTATACTAGGACGAAATGGCCATTCAGTGCTTCCAGGTTTTCTATGGTGATCTAGATTTAATTAACTCATGATTTCAACTATTAAATTAAATAACAAGACTTTAAAGTTGATATTTGATGCCATGATGACAAAATTATGTTAGAGATTACTTAACACTACTCATGATTAAGTTAACATTACAATATTTTGAAGTGGACATTTTTGAATGGGCACACAACCGTATGGATTAACCAAATTTCTGAAAAAAAAACCAAGATCTTATTTGTTTAATTTGTCTTACTTCCATATTAAGAATAGTTTTTACACTCATACTAATCAGCTATCCGTTGTTCTCCGATTTACAATGAAGATTACTGTCTGTGGAGAAATTTATTTTCGATAAGTGATTTCGTGTTCTCAATGCTGAATGCTTATGTAGAAATTTTACTTTACATGTATCGAAGGGTGCTTAAAGATTGAGAGATTTACTGATCTTATTTGGTTTTAAAGTAAACCTGACTCCCATAAAAAACAGTTTATATGAGGAAGTTATTTACAATTGATTAATCACCGGGTGGTGACAAATGTCAGGTCCTTCTTAGTGCAGATTGAATACTATCGACCAAGTTGTCCTGTGGCCACCAGTCTAGGTGACTCGACATTGAGTGCGTTATGTCCAGATAAGATGGTGGGTGGAGGTGTAGCAAGCCCATTCCACTAAGGTATTATTTGTCTACACAACTGTGTTAATTTCAATATGAGCATGATTGAGTGTGTCTGCACTTCAATCTTTATTCTATTCCCCATTGTTTGAGACACATAGATAGTCAATAATTTATCTACACTGAATAAATACTCAAAAAAAATATATGGATTTTTAACACAGACACACTTTGGTTTTTGTCGCACTCAGTGCTTGCTTGCGAATTTTACCAAGCTTCCACAATAAGCTATCTCTATAACTGATATTTGGGCTTTTGAATGATCTCGAGTAAATCGATAATTCTACTAGGAAATTAAGCCTGCATTAAATACTCGGTTAATGAGATATCTTTTATTGGAGTCGGATATAGAGGAAATTTATCTCAACAAACTTGGTTAACCTCTACAGAGGTACACCTTGCTAACGAGGGCCAATTACCAAGAAACCTAGGTCCAGGGTATCCCGTTGACTAGCTCTAACCACGGTCTTATGAGAGCCAGTTTTTATATAACCACTGTTAAACAAGATAGTCATTTTTCCAATTCGATGTTAATTATGTGTATATTTGAGTTTTAAGAGACTGTACATCAATTAATCATTAGTTTTGGAAAATACTAAAAAATAATACTGTTCAGTGTAGAATAACGATTCAAATATGAAGTACTGAACGTTAACGGAATGGTTCTAAAGATATGAAATTTCCAAAATGCTTGAGTCATGAGTTTGAATCATGGTAGAATTCTTCATGTAGACCTGACGTATTTTATATGCTTGCATACTGACTATAAACCTTTTTTTATTTATCATTACAGACTTCTTAAATAAAGAGTTTAATATTCGCTTTACAAAACGTATCTTTCAAAATTGATTTGGGTGGTGAAACTGAGTAGATTAATATAAAAAATGTACTAAGCTGGGTCAAATTTCATTTATTTTAAAAACATGATTGCCTCTTAACTACTTTATTTGATTTTAAATTTGAAATGTAGAATAATTTACACAAATAATGGTTTTCTTTGTCGATATCATCAAGCATAGCGAGTGTATACCCACTTGAAGGTTTAAAACTATACAAAAGGGAGACGCATCCCACGACGTGATCATCAAGTGAAGCTAATTGATTTCTGCAGAACAAACTACGCTAGTTTTTAATAGGTAAGTATAGTGACCCGTAGTTCTGTCACAGGGAAGGCATGGGTTTAATTCTATCGCGTAATCAATTTATAGGCCTGTTATTTGACTACTTGATTATGGGATCATTTTAACGATATAAATATCCCACACGACCTCGTACATATTCACTGACTCAATTTACATTAGTGAATAAAGTCAACATTAAATTTCTTTGTGCGACGATTCCATATCAGACTGATTATCGTTGAACAAATTACACGTGCTGCACAAATCAAATTTGGTTCTCTCAAATGACTGTCATACCAACAGGCTTCCAACATACCTGTTACATACATTTACGGCTTGTGATTCTGAACGTTATCTTGGTCAAGAATACGTTATTATATTGAAGTATATCCTCTAACCAGTCATGTCATAACTATGGAATTATTTTCCGACCTACCAAATGCACAACTATTGGTTATTTGAAAGTATCCTCTGTATGACCTACATATTGTTTTCATTTTAATACGTTTTCTTTTGGATAAAATCGTTGTTATTTAAGTACTTGGATTTCGGTCCACTTAAACCATTGGGTGAACCTACGTTTATTAATATTTCCACATTTATATTGCTATATTCCTTGTGATTATCTCATTAATTTAAAACGTTTGTCTATTTATAACAGGAGGATTGAAAATATTTCCAGAGACATCTTCTTAAAATTAAAAAGAAAAACAGAAACAAATAAAGACCATGATAAATGCAGTTTTCGAGTTCAGGTTTACAGCGTACGGTGAAAATAATCCGAGATTCTAGTTCACTCAAATAGAAGCACTTCCCTTTAATTGACGAACACGATCCCAGGCTACCTGTTATGCGGACGTAGTAGGATCACTACCGATCGAAGTTTCAGTTACGGTCTGAAACCTCATTGGTCAGGTGCGGAAAGAATCTCCATATGATAGGAGAAAAAACCGAGGTGATGTAGCACATGTGTGTCAGAAGAAAAGAAGCTACTACTGACTACTAGCGATTTCGATGACAGAAAACCTTCCCAACTTCTAAGATACATGAAGCAGATAGCTGGTTTCCATAGGTCAGACGAGGATGTGAGGATAAATGTAACTGCAGAAACTGTCGTACAATCTACGGCAAGTATTGAGTGTGTTCGGTAGGTCAGTTTAACTCCACAATTTAGCAGAGATGGCCAACAAAATGATGGATGTGCATCCAGACGCTGACAGTGTCAACATTCTATAGATAGCGGTGGGAACTAGCAATAGTGGTTATTATTTAGCAACACTACAACAGCAAATTGACCTCAAAAATAGATTTGCTATGTTACAAGCACCAACATCTAACGTTTAGATCAGACGTATATGGTTATCATACCGAAAAAGGTCGTCCATAAAAACTGCGTTTTCAGTCACCAAAAACATTAGGAAAAGTATGCTGGTGCAATTAAAGGTAAGGGTTTGCTGCAAAGACATGGAAAGTTCCTACAAATCATGAAGACCCTCAGTGGGACATTGCCGACAAGGCAGTAGTGGCGAGAGCTGTCATTAACCATCCATCGAGCTACCTAATCCAAGCCATTAACAGAACATTCGGTGCCATTTCAGTAGATATTGGTGCCGAGCTCGATATTATTACACCAGCATTATCAAGGAGGTGTAATCCAGTCAGTAATACGTTACTTCAAGCAGCCAACAAAACCACAATCTGCACGTATAGCAAACAATCATTTATATTGAACCTCGAGTCGCGTCGGAATTTTCGGGGATTTTTGTAGCAGCAACGTAGAGATAATAATAATACGGAAAAGAGTAAATATTTCAGCCTTTCACCTGGTGCTAGGACGGCTATTCGAAATGTTAAATCAGTGTTATGAAAAGACAATCATGTTGATATATTTGAGTCTTAACCTCACGACTCATTTTGCGTATCGACGCTTAATAACCAGCAGTGGTGGCACTTTCGTAACAAGTAGATGATGCAATTACATCGCAACAATTTTTGATATTTGATCTAAATTTTTAACATTGCTTTTTTTAATTATAGATAAAAGCTACGCACATTTCTTCAAGTGCGATCATCAATAAAAAAACTACTGAATAATCTTTTATCGTTGCTGACATCTGTGTTCCAGTGATAGAAATCAACAGTTATTATTCTGTAAACAATATAGAAAATGAACAAGTCAAAAGTCTCTAACAAGAGTACAGATGTCTGAGAACCGTGTATCCAAATAGGCGGCTTCTGTGAAGACTGAAACAAAACACAAAAATATTAAGTTACGTCTTCAAAAGTCAGTAAATTAATATTAATCGTAAATGAATGTGATTTTATGCGAAACTACTCGAAAAAAATGTTCATAAAAGCATACGAATGATAGAAATGTAAATGGAATTACTGAAGTAGTCGATGAACTACACTACTAAGCAGTTATCAAGTGATTTCAAAATTCAATGGCTATCGAGGACCAGTAAATCATGATAACTGTTGTCAAAGCCAAGTTTATGTACATAAAAACAGTTATTATGATCATTTTTATTGTCATGGCTTCGGCTTCTTTTCAGGTTTTATGATTTGATTTCACAAAATAATTTTTTTACATTAAAAAGATCGAAGAATTGTAGGATGGTCAGTAACTCGACTTATTTAATAACAGTGCTGAATTATATGAAAATGTAACTGAGTAGTTGGAAAAGTGCGGTATATTTTGTGGCTTTTTATTGCACATAAATAGACAACGAAATAAGTCAAGATATAGCCCTGTTATTAATCAATCAGCCTGTACTTTGGAATGGATAACATTTGCATTGGATTGAAATTAAATAGTTCTACACAATAATTTAAATGAGGGGCAATACAGTGGCTTTTAATGCCATGGGACAGCCTAGAATATAAGACAGCGATGGTCATACTGTAATTTATATATTTCTAATAAATTCGATACTCTATCTTTCAAAAAAACGATAATGATAATTATGTTCTCGTTTCCAATGTATCTTCTTTAAGATTTTTAAAAGATTATCTTTTAACTGAAGACTCATAAGCCTGGAGGATACAAAGCTGCACTGCTATGAAATGTATGAGATTCTTTGTATCTAAATACCATTGCTTTGTTTGGCTTTGTGAGGGCAACAAATTGCATGTAATAACCCAAAATTTAACTGCTAATCAACATTCGTCGCGCTGGTACAACGTACAAAATGAAACTCAACGCAAAGTGGTGGGATGTAATAGTGTATTACTAGGTTATATTAAAAGTGCAATTTATTTTCTGAATACAGGTCTAAGCACACAGCTTTGAGTTACATTGTTTCCATGAGGAGACTAGAGATACATACTACTATCCTACTGAAATTGAAGTAGGTGGGTTGAGGTTTGAATCCGCAACCGACTGTTGGAAAGCCCAGCTTTGTAACCACTAAACCACAGCTCCACATACTGTTGAATACAACATGCGGAGAAACCTATAATTTTCGAGACCTTGTATAAAAAATGAAAGTTCTTAAGGGAGAGTTTACGCCAATATACACTTAAAAGAATTTGTATGAATATTTATCAGTATGATTGATGTCATAACCATCAACAAAAATGGTATTTTTCCCTATAAACTAACCAACACGAAGATTAGAAAGATGAGATCCAGTTGAAGAATCCAATGATGCAACCTTAAACAAAGACAAAATTTTATCCATTCTCTTCAAAAGTTCGTCTGAAAAACAATTAAAACCATTAAAACTATTAGTAAGAAAAAAATTAAGCAATCAATATCTAATGTTTCATTGTATAATCAAATAGGAATGTTCCATGAAGAAGCAAAAACAATTTCATGTTGTACTGTAGTAGTTATTATGTTCAATTCTTCCAAACTACTTTGAATCAAACAAAAATTTCTTAAGTTTTATAATTAAAGCAGATGATTACTAGAGATCGGAATTTCATAGTTCTAACTTATTAATGTGATTAAATTGTCAACTGGTGTAATCTTACTAGTCTGAGAACTCTCTTACGAAATACAAGAATATTCGACTATTTATTCATTCTACAAACAAGACCAGTGAAGAGGTAGTTAAATAAAATATATTATTTAAAAATGTGATTTTCATTAAACTGAACGCTTTTTATGATTATATACTTCATTTATGAAACAGTAACTATAGTTGGAAAAAAACATCCCACTATTATAGATTTAAACAAGTATATTTTAGTAAATAATGATGTTTTAATTGAAACTTGATCTTTTTTTAGGTAACGTTACCAAAGTTTGAATTGATAATTTCGAATAAATTGAGCATTGTGTAGATTGTTATAAATAAATTAATATATATGTAGTATCCCAATCAGTAGAAAAATTAGACGTTTCGTGACTTAGTGTGAGCCACTTCTTCAAAGAATAAATAACCAAATCAAAATTAATCCAAGGTTAAATAGTACAACGGAACAACATGAATATTATGTGATCAATCAAAAATACAGGTCTGAACAAATCAATGTCATACCCCCATCTGATAATAAAAATTTTGTTTATAAAATAAAATCTCTTATGTTATGATATCCTTTACAATTACTTCATATTGAATTTTGAATGAGTATTGACTTATATACTGAATTAGTTAGAGTAGATAACTATTAATTAGGATAAATACATACTAAGAAACAACCGATAGAGATTGATTCATCTTGTTGATGGGAGAAATCCTGTTTTTTATTGAATTTTCAACAGCATAACAACGTATGGATTGGATCAATGATGTTTATTAGTTAAAAAAGAAAACTGTTTATAAATGAGATAACGGGAATATATTTGAAAGATATATTTTATTTTACTAACCAGGAATATCCGATATACATTTTTTCGTTTGATCACATAAATTAGAACTGAATAATTTTGACCATTTGTAATAAACTATCCATATTTTAATAACTGTACAAATATATTCTATGCAAAGAGATGGTTGATTTACTGAAAATTAAATAATAGATATACATACCTTAATCAAACTTCGTAACAGACAAATAGTTATAATTGTAAGCATAGATGAGAGTATTGAAATAATCAAGGCAGTTCTTTTTAAATTAATGATATAGATTACGCAACGAAGTATAAGGAAGGACAAAGTGAAAAGTGTAATAGTATGATAACGTTCAATTTGTTTTAATTATCTTGATGTGAAATTTGAATATTACAAAAACATGTACTAGTTACTTAAAATTACATAATATTCCACAAGTTATTTTCACTGGGAATAATTAAGCACTGGATAATTTATGTTTTGTTTTAGTATAGGAGTACTCAACAATCAGATATTATAGTGAGCTTGGTGATCTCAAATTAGTTTGATTAATTTACTTTCATCAATTTTACGTCGTGACGAAAACTATTTACAAATTACACGAATCTTTACAAATCACTCAAACACGGAACGAATTTCACAGATATGCTGTTATAGATTGGACACAGTCAGTTGATCAGTCATAAGTAACGTAAGACCTGGTGCATATGTGTATTAGTCCGAGTTGTCACATCATACCAGCGCATCGACATCAAATTTTCAAAACAAGTCCCAAAATAGTAGTAGTAGCAGCAGTGTCAGTAGTATTAGGAGGAGGAGGAGGAGGAAATATTATGCATAGAAGATATGAATAGAGAGAATGAATGGATTTGCGGAATATCAAGTAGAAGTACCTCGAGATAAAAAGTTAATGTATCTGAGCCACTGCAAACGGTCCTTAGCTATCTCGCCTAGAACCCCTCACCACTAGCTAAGATAACTGCGAGGTCTCTAACTAGATAACCTCCATCTACCTACCTAAATGACTTAGTCAAACATCCAATAACTTCGTGGACCGATATCATGTCTTAATTTGACTGCTGCGAGCATCTTGTCCAATCTACTTCATCCTACTTCCACTTAGATTGATCACGGAACTACTTCAAGCTTATTCATAAAACACTGAACATGTGACATTATTGCAATTATTCTTAGCGACGTTATGTTTAGATAGTAATCAGTAGTATCAGTTATATAAATGACACCGTAATCCACAAGAACAGGTAATTTTAAGGATCAGGTTGAATAAAATACTTTATTGATACAAAATCTCAAAATCTAACTTTATTTAAAACAGAATAACATGCAAACGATTTTTTGATACGCAAGTGCGGTTAAGAGGCTGATACGTTGATATAACTGGAAATCCTAAGTAAAACATTGTTAGTTCAAGACTGTTTCAAGCCACAACACCAAAAATAACAAGAAGGAAACCAAAAGAAGTATAAAAGTCCCAAAGAAAAAACCGACGTGAATTAAGTGAAGCTACAAAAATGAGTAAAGCTTTTTGAATTTAGAGAAACAGCGACAAAGTATGTCGTTTTTTAGTTGGTTTTAACTATGACAGACAGTCCAAAAGATCATCGGTAGTTAGTATTATTATCATGAGACCCTCAAACAGAAAGACCTACTTAGTAATACCTAAAATACTGGATATGTTTAATGAGTGAATTGGAATTAATTTTCTAATCAACTTATATTTACTTCGAACTGATGAGATATATCCATGAATTTCACCATTACTGTGAAAAACTACTTAAAACATATTTAAGTAACTTGAATATATACAATTTTAAGGTCCTTATCTACGATTAAATCAGAATTTTAGAACACGATCCTTAAGAACTCTTATTGCATCATTTGTAGATGAAATTTGTCACTCAGTCAGCATACCATTGAGAACCAGGGAGCAGTCGAGAGCAATTTTAATTTAGCATGGAAGTGTTAATTATTAAGTGCTAACAAGCCCTTCATACATTAGATCGAGGACATAAAGTTCTGCCGATAAATGCTTAACTGTTAGAATCATTGGATTGGCTTTCAACGGTAAACATTTCCCATTTCAGTCAACTTGTGATATAACGAGACAATAATTTTGCGCTACTAATGACGGCTATTTCCCTTTAAACGTACCTAAACTCCATTTCTCACAACTTTCCACTAGCACCGCATGAAGTCACATGGAAGAAAGTCATTATTAAACCGACTGTGATAGCTTAGGTGAAGCGGTTTCGTGGAGATTATTCTGTCATGAAAATAAAATTTAGCATGTTCCATTGAAATAAATAAAAGTATTTAAATAAGCGTTATAGAAAAAAGATATCACTAACCAATTAGAGAATCTACGAAAGAGATCCAATTACCAACAAAAAATTTCAATAATTCTCCAGGACTCAAAAGCCACATAAGTAAATTGGTTTCCTGTATACTGTCCTTCGTGTCGAGTAACAGTGAATTCAGCAGACAATTGTTTATAAGTTCCAAGATGTTAGTAACAAGGGTAATGAATGAACACATATTAGATTTCTGGGCAGTTATAATATTCGTGCAACAATTTTCTTTCAACCATTTGCAAACCATATTTCCACGAAATGGTCTACCACTCGAATTATATCCAAATAGGCTAGCAGATAAGTGAGGATTTGAAGGAATTCTACACAGCTGAATTAGAATAGTTGAGATGTCTGCAACGGATTGAACGATTTTCGACTTATCCGTAGATGAAATTTGATGCGAGTCAGTTGACAAACGATGATTTTCAAAGAAATTTGTCCTAATTGACAAAAGTACAATTATGACTTGAAATAAATAGTATTTAAGAATGTATTAATAGCTCATCCCCAGTAGTGGTGGAGATTGATATAATTAGGATGACCAAGTGGTGTATATCGAATATAAGAAAACATAGTGCAAGGAAATAAATCAGACAAAACTACAAAACGAATGAAACTGAAAATGTTAATGAAATATAGATTTTAATATTTAAGATGCTACTGTCCTTCATTCTATGAAGCTGAAAATTAAATCGATAGTCCAGCAAGATATGATGACCAGTGGTTGTATAAATGATATCGTCCTGTAAAAAAACATGCAAATTTAGCCAATCAATCGCAATTTTTGAAAGAATACTCAGTGAGTTCTTGAAAGCTCAATAATATCCCACTACAATAATAATAATAATAATCGAGAACTCACTAGAGGTTAGTTTGAAGATGCAACTACTGTAGGACTAGTGAGAAACCTTGGCCACTGGAGTTTAACTGTGCCAAGTTTGAGACAGTTATCCACCGCAAGCAATGGAAGACGATCGTTCAATATCGTGAATTAAATAAAGTTAGACATATGTACCGTTGGATGCCGGCTCAGTGGTTTAGGGGTTAAGTGCCCACACATGAGACCAAATATCCCCAGTTCGATTCCCACATGTGGAGTCATGGACACGTAATCCTGAGGAGTCCAACATTAGGACAATGCTTCCTGGTTGTCAGTGGTTATCTAGCTAAGATTGGTTCGTAATTTAAACAATGAAGTAAACTTATTTAATGAAAATGAGGTCTTGAAACTTATCAAAATCAATTTCGAATCTGTACATGACAGGAAAACATTTTATAAACTTACATCAATGTATCCAAAATCGGTAAAACTGGAGTTAAGTAGTTATTGAATAGTTCTTCAAAAACAGACATGATTTCAAAATCCTTTTCTAGCTCCATACAATGTGTCTTAAAGTATACTTCAACCCAACTGAAATATGTTTCAAGTAAAACTGTACCAAGCGGTTTAATTTCATTAACCGACTTATCCCATAAAAAGTGTGTATCACTACATATTTCACAACTGGGATCCTAAACATTCAAGGAAAAAATGCTTAAATTAATAGAGAAAATTGAACATTTTCAACTTTATGGTTTATTATTCTAATAAAAAGCTTAGTTTAATTTTTAGAAAAATATGTGCAACTGGGTACAGTACAATGTAAGTGAGCCAATAAAAATCTTTTAACATGTTTATTAGTTAAAATAAAGAGGGTGTTAAATTTAATTTTCAGAACAAAAGTACAAATGAAGTTTGAAAAAAAATTAGGGGAAAAATGAAACTGATTACTTAATGAAATCAAAAGGTTACTTTATATTAACGATAAGTTATAAGAGAAAAGGATTTGCACTTATTAAACTTTTGGTACTACATAAAGCTGCTTAAAAGAACCCTCTTAGAATCCTAAACAAGAAGTGAGAACTTGGACATGTAGGTTAATATAAAAATGTAGAGATGAGACATAATAATCACATAATAAAAACCACGTATTAGTACTGAGCGAAATGTTTACCAAACACACAAATGAATTACAAGATATGATTCTCATAGATTTAGACAAAACATCAGTTTATAAATAATTTGTTGGGATGTGAAAAATTGTTAATATTATCAGCTTTATTATACGGCCAAAGACAATGAGTGATGGTTAGGGAATACTGTGAATTAGATATATCAACAATTGAATTCCAGCTTAGTGGACTTGAGTTCGACCCGCGAAAGGCCATAGATACGCAATTCCAAGGAGTCTCAAACCAGGATGAAACAGTCATCCAGTGCTTCCTGATTCTTAATGGGTAGTCTAAATTAGGTCTTTTTATGATATTAATAATACGTGATAATATCGAGAAGCCGCTAAATTGATAATGGGCGATGTTTTTTAAAACAACGTTGGGCTATACAACAAAACAACATGTTTTCTTTTATTAACACACAATCGCCTAAATCGCTAAAAAATATACTATTATTTATCAGAAGTATTCACAAGAGATAATTTTCGTTACAGAATTATTCCATTAACCATAGTTTTAAAATCAATGACTTAAACACTTTATCTCCGCAAATCGTCACAACATGTGTACAATACCAATATCTAATGGCTAAAATTGTTATTTCTATGCAATTGGTTTCCTTCACAAATATAAAGAAAACAAGGAATGAACGGTAGAATAATCTGGATTTATGGTATTTCATTGCTTTTTCCTCAGCTACAAAGAAATCAATAAATTTAGTTATTTTTAATTACTAACGAAAATTTTCGATTTAAAGAACTGTTTTGTCTATAAAGAACAATTGGTTCAGAATGTGAGTTTATGGAAATTTGTAACTGAAAGTGTTTCTGTTTCATTTTTAAACTGTTACATTTAATCTGTTGCATTAGCAATACCTTATCTTACTTGATTTTTTATAGAAAGATTAAATGAACTCAGTAAATTTCGCAACAATTCACCAGTATCTAAACATTGTAACCAAATGTTTTTCACTGTATCGTCAGTAGCATATGAAATTAAGGATTGATAAGAAGAATTGTCACTACATTTATTAGCAGTATCTAACTTTTAGAATAGATAAAATAGAAACAAAAGTTATACAGAAGTGCAACATTATCTATCAATGTATGTACATTAAAAAATACAGTTTTATAATTGACAGTGAGCATTCACAATAAGTGTTATACACGGTTTAAATCGAAAATTATTAAGAAAGGGGTTAAAATGGTGACTATTTTTTTAGATAGACTCTGGCCTCCTGAACTGTATTATTACTTCTAAATGTAGCCAAACCTTTATGGTGTGAGATAATCATTCAATCGGCCGCATAAATGAAGTTAGGACATGAGATATATGTGTCATGTCATTGAATTATATTGTCCAACGCCTGGAACCATAAATTACAACTATAAAGAGAGCTGCAGCCAGGATGTTTATACCGCCTTAAACGCCTTAAGCTAAAAGTCAACGACTTCACAAACTGATGCTATGTATATTTCAAATACCTTGAGTTTTCTCTAATCTTCTTCAAAGCCTATCAACATTGTGTTTAGGTTGTTTGTGGCTAGACATACGTAAAACATGCTTAAATAACTCCAATCGACGAAGATCTATAACCATACTAGCCGATTTATCATTTGTACTTAGTAACCTAAGCGTAACCCTCGACATTGTTCACTTGATCAGTATCAACATATACGAGAAACGCTCCGAATAATTCAAATACTTATAATCAAAACAGGACTTCTACTTTTTTTAAGACACGTTTTACACCCATGAAGCATTATGAGGTAGAATGCTGCATTGTATACTGGATAGGCAAAAGTCACGTAATTAAACGTAGATACACCAGTCACAGCTAAGAGTATCTTAAAACGTCTAGGACTTCATTTGCGAATGTTTTCAGTTTCTCGCTGTTGGTGTTAACGACTGTAACTGGTTAGTTTCTAATGACATAGATGGATACTGAGCGGAGTGCCTCAGTATTTGCCAGTTAGTCACACGTTTTCAGCTCTAAAATTCCAAGAATCCTTTCTGTATACTGAAATAACGCCATGGGTCTAGAATCAGTGCTCTTCACAATAACCACTACTATTCTTTTATTGGTTACCTTATACTTTTATGTTATTCTGTTCCATGTTTTTAAAGGTCTGTTACAGATTACATGTACTTATAAGTTCTCCAATCAAGTCGCATTATATAGGGACAATACAAGTTCTTAAGGAAAAGTTTCCTTATTCATGCAGCACACCTGGAACTCACTTCCGTTTTTGGTTTATTCAATGCTGAACAAATCATCATTTAATTGCTAGGGTTTTGGAAAATAACATTTTCTAGAACAAATGGCTTTATCACTTCCCATTACTGTGTGAATAATATATGCCACATAAACTCTTTTTTAGTGACAAAGTGTATTTCGCCAATTAAACGTAAGGGAATAACACAGACTAAAATTTACTGGTTACTATTTTAAATTTATACGGCTAATAATTTCACTAATTTACACAAATATCAAATGCTGAAATTTGTACACCGGTAAATAGACAGAAACACCTCGAATGAAAGTTATGCAACTGAAAAAACTCACATTATTATCATCAATGTTACTCTTCTGTAACTCTTGTAGGCAATATTGAAATAAAAGTAAACATGCTTCTAATATATTGCAATTAATTACAGAAGAATCCTTGTGAGAAAGAACAAAAGAAAAAATATAAGAATACAAAATAATACAACTCATTGATCAGCAATTGATTAACAGTCAGTTTTCAGCTACATATAAGAGCTAGAGGCTATTGATACTTCATAGTCATCTAAAATGCAGTAGGCAGATTAAGGATTGAGCAAAATTCTACAAATAAAAGAAATGTCTAAATACATGTAATCTAACACACTTAAGCCAAAAGAAATAGTACAAACACAGCATACTGAAAGATAATTTAAAATGGATCAAGTAACTAGCGTACCCATTAAACACATTAGTAGCATAGTATATGACACTTCGGAGTTCGAAGTGGTAGTTCGTGGGTCCGAGTTTCACGGTGAGCATCAACACAGGTGAAGACATATAACTGACTACCTGTAAATAGGAAGAAGTTTGTCCTACAATCCACTACTGGCTCAAATTTGAAGACATAAAGAAACCTTCAACTACATGCAATATCGATGGGATCCTCTCAGAATGAATATATGACAACACAGAATGATCTAACTTTAGTCCTGAGTACTGCATTTTTGCTTTCACCTACACTACCCTGTTGGCTCAACTGAAGTAAATGGAATTCAAACCCATAACGAAGTGCACACAGATCAAATGCTTTAAAGATAGAATGACCGCGAAAACTATGCTAAATCAATTCATTCTTCTTAATTTCAGTGTTCATAATTATTTACAAAAGTTTAATTAAGCAGGAAGCTAACCCTGAATAAAGAAAACAGAACGAACTGCCATTCAGTATGCTCGTCCTTTTATTGATAGACGGATATAGGTGACGTAAGTCAGCAAAAGCCAAACGAGCTTTTCGAATCCATGCTGAGATTTCGTCAGACACCAACCCATTAGGGCTGATCAGACTTCCAAGATAAGTGAAGTTGTCAACGCGTTCGACTACTTCACTCCCTATCCTTAGTTCAGGTGTTGACGCAGACCAGTCCTGAAGCAACAACTTGCATTTAGAGGGAGAGAAGCGCATCCCAAACATCCTGGCATTGTTGCTCAGTGCTGTGTTGCGTATGCCAGAACACCGATTACCACGACGCGCAATGCTCACTGGTGTTAGGGATAATTGGAAGAAAGTTAGGGGTGGCCAAACAAAACGTCGAATCAGTGCTTGAAGTCACTAACTTCTAGTCTGAGTCATGTTGGTAGATGAAGACTACTTGGTTGGGGTCCGCGTGACTATCATAACCAATGATTCGAGACTGTTGGTGACATGGCCCAGAATCGATTACAATGGCGTCGGCGCATACAGTCTCTGTATTCCTTTAAACTAAGAGATTAAAATCGCTTCATGTCTTTCTTTCTACGAACTAATTCTTTCTTCCTGTATTATATCTTTATACACAATCTTTCTTCTATATACTACTACCTTTGATGTGACTACTTCTATGAATCCGGTGTTCATCTTGTTGTGCTAATGCGGTACGGCAACTCGGACCGATGCATATATGTGCCTGGTCCTACGTTGCAGCTGACTGACTGACTGCTCCGTGCTAAAAAGAGACTCTGCATTTTATCAGCGTCTTCACCAAACAGGACTGTGTCATTTGCGTATTCTAAGTCGATAAGTGGACCTCCTGGTAGGAGATCAATACCCGAGAATTCAGTCGATGAGAGCGTTATTTCCATCAGTAGATCTATGATGAAGTTAAACAAAAATAGAGAAAGTGGACAGCCTTGACGGACACCACTTGAGGTTACAAAAGCGGATGACAGTTTGCCATAAGCTCTCACTCAACTAGTAGTGTTCGAGTAAAGAGCCTTCACAAGGTTTATGTACTTCTGAGGTACGCCTTTCAATGACAGACACTGCCACAGAACCGCTCGGTCTACAAAGTCAAATGCTGCTTTTAGGTCAAGGAAGACCATTATTGTCGAACGCCGATAAGTATGCCTGTGTTCTAGAACCTGACGAATGGTGAATATGTGGTCGATGCAACCACGACCAGGTCTGAAGCCAGCTTGATTCTCTCGTGTTTGCAGTTCATGAGTCTTAGTTAGGCGTCCGAAAATTATCGAGGCTAGTATTTTAGATACTATATTAGTAAAACTAATCCCTATATGGTTGTCACAGGATGATTTTGACCCTTTCTTATATATTGGGACGATAAGTGATTGTGACCAGTCAGAGGAGACTACGTCCAACTCCCAGATTTTAGCTAAAGTATTAGTCAGCCTAGTCTCTAGAATTGGACCACCATTCTTAAAGACCTCTAGGGCCAATCCATCTGGACCAGCTGCCCTTCCTCGTTTTAGATTAGCTATAGCCTTTTGAACTTCAGCTAGATTTGGAGGACCTACTTCAATGTTCCATTCACAGTGTCTGGGAATAGTGGGTAGTTGTAGAGTAGCTGAAGGCCAGCTGAACTGCTCCTTAAAGTTTTCCGCCCTTCGTTCTAAACATCTGGACTGGGAGCAGATAAGAATGTCGTCTTTTTCCGAGATAGTCTCACTTACAACTGACTTTTTAGTTCCAGTTTCTTTTATTAGTCTGAAGAGCTGTCTGGTGTTTCCTATAGCCACCGCCTTTTCCATATCTTTTGCTTTCGTTGCCCACCACTGCTCACGGTCGTTCCTTAGACTTTTGGTTAACCTAGATCTGATTCGGTTTCGCTCATCATCGTGTTTAGAGCCTGATGGGATGAGTTTAAGCGAATCCGTCAGTGCGTGTGCGGAAAATTAACGTGATTAAATTTCACAACTCATTGGAGGAAATCAGTTTTTTAAATCCCTAGCTCATCACTGAATTAATGCCTTATTCTTGCCTTTTACATTATCGATCTTAGGACAGAATGACTGACCTGTGTTGCTGTTCAAATGATTAACGAGCGCAAGAAAGATATAACCATCCCTGAGGAAGTAATTAATTTGCATAGATATCTATATAAGCTCAAGTTTACAACAGTTATCGGTTGTCATGAGTTACACTTTCGATATAATTAAGGCAAATCTGTAGCAAAGTGTACTAGGAAGTTTCTTTTATTAGTCTGAAGAGCTGTCTGGTGTTTCCTATAGCCACCACCTTTTCCATCTCGTTTGCTTTCGTTACCCCCCACTGCTCACGATCATTCCTTATTTATTTATTTATTTGAACACATAAATATTGGTACAGGGGGGCACCAAATATATATGCGCCACACAAAACAATGATAATTTGAAGAGAAGGAGAAAAGAGAAAAAAAAGTAATGAACGTGGGGAATTATAAAAAAGGGAGAGAGAGAGAGAACAATGGTGGGGGAAACGGAAAGGTACAATCAGAAGAGATCTTTCAGTTAAGGAAGATACAACCACTTTTTATAAAGAAAGTAAAAGAAGGTTACAGCACGATCGCCACTGGCTTCTATTCTGAGCCATATCTGATAACGTCTCTAGCCACTGCGTTACACCGTCTTTCGGACCCCAACCAGGGAGTCGTGAAGGACCAACAGAAGCTAGCCCTTTGCAGCTTTCTTTCATACCACGACACCATGTCATATACTGACCACCTCAACGCTTTTTCCAACCAGTCCCAGAGTCGGCAAATAATGCACGACGTGGAATTCTCTGGGACGACATTCGTAGAACATGTCCAAGCCACCGAAATCGGTGTTTCAAGATGGTGACACCAATTTCATTATTGTCTCTGTGACCGAACACTCGATGCTGAACCTCTGCACTACTGACATGGTGTTGCCACTGGATGCCAGCAAACCTTCGGAGACAGCGATGATCGAACACAGAGAGTCGTCTAACATCCTCAACTCAGAGAGGCCAGGTTTCACAAGCATAGAGCAAAACTGCTCTCACCGTCGCGTTGTAGATCCGACCTTTTACAGCCAGACTAACATCACGAAGGCGCCAAAGATGGCCTAGATTGGCATAAGCCGCTCTGGCTTTCACTATACGTGCATTGATCTCATCACTCACACCACCACCAGCACTTATGCAGCTACCTAGATACACGAACTTCTCGACTACTTCAATCTGCTCAACATCCAGAGTGAGTACAGGATTAAAATCCTGCCAGTCTTGTAGAAGAACTTTGCACTTCGAAGGTGCAAAGCACATACCACACCTACGGACACTGATTGCCAACTGATTAAGTGCGGATTGCATGGCTTGGGCATTCTCGCACAGTAAGACAATATCATCCGCATACTCAAGGTCGAGAAGTCTTTCTCCAGGCAACAGATCCACACCACCATTACTTACACCCGTCAGAGCTGTTTCCAGAGTGTCATCAATGGCAAAGTTGAAGAGGAATGGTGAGATTGGGCAACCCTGTCTAACCCCACTGCTCGAATGGAATAGTGGAGAAAGGTGGTTGTATGCCCTCACTCTGCCTGAGGTGTTTGTGTATAGGGCTTTTAGGATGTTAATAAACTTCTCAGGCACACCCTTCTTCAATAGACAATCCCAGAGAACAGTTCTGTCCAACGAATCGAAGGCAGCCCTGATAGGGAAAACTATCGCCTCATTCCATGACGTTGGTACACTCTCTAGTTCCCAGATCTTTGTAAACAACGTCGTCAGTCCCTTAGTCAGAAAGTCGCCACCATCTTTAAAAAGAGCCGGAGGTAAGTCGTCTGGGCCCGGTGATTTGTAACGTTTCAAGAGTTGGAGTTCCTTGCGGACTTCCGCCTCATTTGGTGGATCAGTCGTCACTGGCCATGGAGGGCAGGACAGTCTGACCGATGTTGCCGGAGCAGCAGGCCAGTTGAACTGCCCTTCAAAGAATTCTGCCCATCGTCCAAGACGTCGATGGATGTTGGTGATTGGCGTTCCGTCATCCTCGCAGATTGTTTCGCTCACACCAGACTTCTTGCTGCCAGTGGCTCGGATGAGTTGGAAGAGCTTCCGGTAATTACCAGATGCAGCTGCTGCTTCCAACTCACTGGCACGCTCCGACCACCATGCTTCTCGGTCCTTACGCAAGCTTTGCCCGATTTCATTACGTAACATCCTTCGTCTGTGGTCAAACTCACGGTCACCCGGAGTAGACCGACGGGCTTCAATCAGTTGTAAGGAACCAGAAGAAACCCAGTGCTTGTAAGCGGGACGTTTCGCAAACCCACAACTGACTTGACCCGCCATTTTCATGGCGTCATGCAATTGCAACCAATGCTCATCTATACTTTTCGGTGGAATGGTAGCTAGCCTAGAAGCTAGCTCGGTTTGGTACTTACAATCAACAGAAGTTGCAGCCAGCTTGCTAACATCAATCCTTTGGTGGCGGTCACTTCGTTGTCCACTGAAAAGTAAGGTAAGATTGACGCAGACCAGAGCATGATCAGATTCCAGATAGGTACTCCAAAAGGAGCGGCAGTCTTGTACACAACCGCGCCAGCGGTAGCTGATCGCGATGTGATCAATCTGAGTCCAGGCTTGAGATGCAGAAGGAGGACGCCAGGTGGCACATCGGCGATGACTGTGCCGAAAGTTAGTGCTAGCCAGAAACAGATTGTGGTCTGTGCATAATTGCAGTAGACGTTCCCCGTTATCTGTCCTGCGACCAACGAGTCCCCATCGGCCACCTAAACGACTCTCTTCTGTGCCTAGACGCCCGACTTGAGCATTCAAGTCTCCAGTCAGTACTACAATATCTGTCGAACGCACTTTCTGGAGAAGAACAGTTAGCTGGTGGTAGAACTTGTCCTTGATTGCATCCAGGCTGCAATCTGTCGGGGCATAGGCAGAGATGACGAAAAGACATCGTTTCTCACGCCTATTTCTTCTCACTTTGATGGAACTTTCTAATCTAACAGCACATAACCGACTGTTAATGGGGATCCAGTCGACTAGTGCTGCCTCAGCTCTTGCGCTTAGTGCGACACCAACGCCAGCAAGACCAGACGAAGGTGCCACAGGGTCCCCGGATAAACGCACATAAAACAAGCTTTTTGAAGTGACAGATGGAGAGCGAACTTGTAGTACTTCACCAGAGTCTTGAATACGGGTCTCGGATAGACAACACACATCAATATTAAGACTTTCCAAAGACATAGCCAGTCCTATCTGTTGTCCGACCTGCATAAGTGTGCGAACGTTGAAGGCAGCCAGTTTGAATGGTGCACGTGGTTTCAGAAAAACTGCTTCAGTACTCACATTCGGTAGTAACATACAATTTTCAACCAGGCAGTGACTCGAGAACGTTTAGATAAAGCTGAATTTTTACCAAAGGCGAGCTGCTGTCTGAGTCGAAACGGATACAAAAAGTAGAAATAGGAGATAGTGAATAAATGACGTAGTAAATAATAATAATAATAATAATAATAATAATAATAATAATAATACCAGTCATTTCAATGTCTCAATTGATTTGTGTGAGGGCTGAGATACTGCCCGGTGGTTTTCTTAGGGGGCCACACCCCGAGCATTTGACCTAAAGGTCTAGTCCACAAGGCGATGGAGCATCGTGAGGAGATGCAGTCCCATGGAAGCCGGTGACCAAAAGTTGGTTCATACGCCATTTGTTCCTTCAGGATACTGGAGCCCATGGGCACCATAGAATTGGGATCCGGTTATAGCGCCGGACGTTCGCTTTTCGTCCTCTCATTTTCGTAAACAACACCCCCGCCACGAGAAGGCAGTGAGTAGGACTTCCCTGGCAGAGGCTGTATACGCGTGGCCGTGTGAGAGTATTTCGAGAGGGAGGGCGAACCCTCCCCGCTCTCGGCCATACCAGGGCATTTGGGGGCTTTTGCTTAACCTAGATCTGATTTGTTTACGCTCTTCGTGTTCAGAACCTGATGGGATAAGGTTACGAGAATCCATCAGTGCAATAGACCTTGAAGAAAACCATTGGTTCTTTGTAACCCTGTGGTTTAAATCACTAATAGATGTCACTGCTGTTTCCACAGCTGATTGTATAACTTTCCAAGCAACATCTGGGTCAGCCTCGTTTTCAGAACTACCTAAGTTTGACCTCAGTCGTTCTTGGAACCTACGTACGGTTTTCTCGTTACTCAATTCAGTTCTAATGAGTCTTTTTAATGTAGCTTTTTTGCGTCCAGTGAGGCGCAAGCAGATGTGTGCTCGTATTAGGGCATGGTCGGAGTACAAACAGGTACTACAGAATGAGCGACAATCTTCTATCGACCCTCTCCAACGATGACTGATGGCAATATGGTCTATTTGAATCCATCGTTGATTTGGTGCAGGGGGTCGCCATGTCAGACGGTGTCTCTCCTCATGCTTAAAATTTGTGTTTGCTAAAAATAAACGATTGTTTGAGCAGACGATCACCATTATTTGTTCGCTGTGCCGGAATACTAAAATACCCACCTAAATGTCTTTCTGTTTCGTGTAAGCTACTTACCTGAACATTAAAGTCACCTGCTACGAGTACTATGTCTGAACGTTTAGCTTTCTGAAGAAGTTCAGACAGCTTTCCGTAAAATTCATCTTTCACTTCATCCGAGCTGCAGTCAATGGGAGCGTAGGCAGAAACGACGAAAAGGCAACGACGTGTGCCCCTATCCTTCCGAGTTCTTACGGAGCCGTTTAGCCGAACAGCGCATAGACGACTGTTAACGGGGATCCATTCCAATAGCGCTTGTTCCGTCCTTTTGTTTAGTACTATGCCTACACCTGCCAGTTCACCAGAACTAGCCATCGGGTCGCCAGATACACGAAGGGTGTATCTCGTCGGCTCTCCGTTTTGCCGAGGTGAGGTCAAGTGAATGAGCACGCTAGGATTCTGTATGCGTGTTTCGGAGACACAGTATATATTAGTCGTACGAGATTCTAGGGTTTTAGCCAAGGAAGCCTGCTGACCGATTTGACATAGTGCGCATACGTTGAAGGCTCCGATGTGTAGTTTGGAGCGAGGTTTCAGTAGACCTGGGACAGTGTTTTGCGCCCTAGAATTGTTGGCTATGGTGACACTTGAGGAGGAAACCAAAAGAGGAAGTCTAGTGTAGAAAGTCGACGTAGGAGGAATAAGAGGAATTGAAGAGGGAGGTTGATTATGAATATAGTGGTCTCGAGTGCTGTCAGAGGTACGAGGGCGGTTATCACTTCCCGGTTGCCCACACTGTGAAAGGAAACACCTTACTGCTGTCACACCTCTGTACAGTCAGCAATGATGAGTAAATCAATGGAAAATTGACTTTTCTTTCCATCTTATCAACATTTTACTATCTTATTTAACTGATTGAATTGAATGTAGATGACTTATCACGTAAACGTTCGTGTACTTAGCTTTAAGTCACAACATTTATGTGACGGCCTAGTGATATTACCCGTCTTCCCAAATCAAAATATATGGAGTGGAATTTGAATTGACATCTTCGTAACTTTTTACTGATATATTTTCTTATCGATTAATAACTACGCAGTCAAAGCAATGTAGATGTTTTTCTCATATCTATGGTTTTCATAAAAAACTGATAAATGGATATGAAACATATGACTAGCTCAAAATCTATTTACAGACCAAAAGTTGCCTACAAATAAAATAAGTCGACCAATTTAAACAAACGAATAAATAAAGGAAAATATTCAGAATAAACAAAAAACATACTGAGCAAATCAATATATCTGTACAATTTTCTAACGATGTTCTGACAGTTTTCTCTTCCTCACTGCCAGAATTGTTAACACTCATACTGCTATTGTTTCCTGAGGATTTCTGAGTCAGATATAATCGTAGTTCAATAGTAAGGGTTGTAACAACAACAGTAAATGGTTCACCATGATTGTTTTCATTGCAAAAATTCTCCAACCATTTTAGTGATTGAAAAACGTTTGACAAAGCGACCAAAAATTGAAGAACTATACAGAATTGTTTACTGATACTGTAAAATCCTATAATACACAGCATAACATAAAAATAAAGTTATTTAACTGTATGCTACTTGGAAGTAATCTAAACTTCAAAGTCACTTCATATGCAACGTAGAACCTGACACCTGGTCGTCATATCACATTAGCACGGCGAGATAAAATAACTTCGAGACAAATTCTATAAAAGAAGAGGTAGTAATAATATCAGTAGAAGTAGAAAAAGATCAGATATAGAGAAAGAAAGAAAGGTGAAAGGAAAATTTTGAGACTCAGGTTCTAGAGAAAACCAAGGAGTGAATGCACTTCCGCCATTGTGAACGATTCTGATCTACTCTACCCAAAGTCTTCAACCATCGGTTGTGATAATTGTGCAGGTCCCAACCATGTAGTTTAAGCCTATTAACATGGCTTAGTTCCACTTTCAGTGACTTCATAAACTGCAAGCATATCTTGGTTAGGTCCACCTCCTAGTTTTCTCCCAATTACACTATACATACTGACGATATATATCCGATGGCAAAGATATTTTGAGAATCCTAATTAATTATCACAATAGTAATAAACCTAATTATAACTTGAATCAGCAGTAAAAACTAACACCAGAAGTATGAATTAAAAATGAGTAGAAAATCTTTGTGAACAATTTGTTGCATCTTAGTATAAGGTTAACTAACAGTTAAAAGTCTATTAATCTTCAATGTATGGATTCGTTTCTCCACATCCGGTTTATTGTATACATGAAAAGTGAAAATCGTAACAAAATAGTATACTTCTTAGGCCGACAAAATGACATTCGATACTAAGTTATAGATATGATTCTCGGAATGCCGTAAATTAACAAAATGATAAATCTTTAACTAATCTCGTCAAACATATTGGGGAAATAAAAACCATAAAAATAGGTAAAAATTTTAGGAACCTCATATGTATTCAGACTGCTGTTTCTTCAAAGGTACATCAGAAAAAATCTCGCTAGTTATCTAGCTACTACCTATATAACTACAATAGGTAATCTTATAAAACCGTACGTATAATAGTTGTAAGACTATATGTGAATTCTCAGTAAGTTTATATGACGTCTAAATAAAATCAGATGTATTCGTATCGGTTGAACACAAAAACGTACACGTACTTCATGAATACATGATTGTACATGAAGAGGTATTACAAGAAGATAAATAGGTCTCTATTGATCTCATACAACAAATGCTAGAAAAAATATATACGGCTATATTCATCGTTCAGTTAATTTTAGTGATTAACATCCAGTAATGATCATTAGTTATAATTATAAATCGATGCTGTTTGGTAAGAAGTGATGGAAAATTCATATAATATAATCATGTTTTACTACAATATGCCTAAAGAATTAAAATATTTAGAAGATAAACTAACATCAGACAATGTAAACAAAATATATCTTAATAAAATTTGATTTCTCAAATAGTGGACTCACGTTCAGTTTTCAAGCAATTCAAACAAAATAAAATTGGATGTTTAAGATATTCTAATAAACTTTTAGCATTATCAATTGTAGACATTAAACTTATTAACTTTATCATTAAAATTAGGTAATTCCAAAGTAAATCATCCTGAAATTAAAAAAAAAAATTTATTGTAATATTGCAAATGAGTTACAGAGCATAATACCAATTTCTATCCAATCATATTTAAGCACGAGTAAATACATTAGGAAATGAACAAATGTCTGATAATTATCACACTTCTTTCATGGTTTTACATTAAGAACAGGTGTAAGGCACTTAATCTAATTTGTAATAACAATGTAAACACACGTTATGTAGAACGACAGTTATGACAGTGTAATGAAAAGATAAAGTGGATCTGAAAATTGTGATGCGTTCACACTATTCACTTATCGAGGCACCAACTTATGAAAATTAATGAAATCCTACTGAATAATAGTTCAAATAACAAAGTAATTCATGTGTGCAAGATAGTTTGTCCACTTGACGAGTACGAGAAAGGTGAAGAATAACTTAAAAGTGTGAAGGTGATAACAACGAATAGTTAGAATAAGAAAGATTAAAACATTAGAAAGATGTATTAATGATCAAATCACCATTTACGAACGTGATAGGGCCATGTAAGAATGATGAGTTGTACATGTTTCTTGCGCAGAGTTTAGGTTTGAAAAGATGGATTGATTACGCCTCTGCAGCACAGAAATTATTGAATTGCACTCTTTACTACTTTCACTTCAACCAATAAAAGAGTCATCTATATATTTCGATAGAACAATGAGAAGACGGAGTTGATCTGTATGTATGTGTGTTCACACAAACATGTAAATTGGTAAATATATAGGGAGGAGTAATCGAACAATGCAATCAAGGGTCAATGAACATGTACCTAAATGGCTTCAAAATAAATGTGTGTCAAACGATCCGATCAACGTGGGAGGTAGAAAACCAGGTTCATCGATAACGAAACATATAATTGAAACGGGGCACAAAATTGACATTAATACAGCTTTTAAAACGTTGTATAGAAATTGTCAAGGACGAATTCTTAAGTTTATTGAAGCCTTGGCTATTAGTAAATTTAAACCCCCCTTATGTGTACAAAAACAATTTGCCGTAACCTTGAACTTACCTTGGCAATCCTTAAGTCATTCTATGGCCTAGGATAACGCGACAATTCTAAAAAAACCTCTCAACGAAATCTTTGCGAAAAACTTTCTGTGTTTTTGGGCTTTGCATCGTCTTTCCAGGTTTCCCATCATTCATGGATGTGCCAAAGATAAACTCCTGCATCGAGCAAAAGAGACACGTATAACTCATCATTCTTACATGGCCCTATCACGTTCGTAAATGGTGATTTGATCATTAATACATCTTTCTAATGTTTTGATCTTTCTGATTCTAACTATTCGTTGTTATAGTGAAAATTCCCATTTGGACATTTGATAAATAGAGAAGGAACGAATTGAGCGGCAAGTTCGTCACCGCAATTACAGAACATCATCCATCGTGGCTAAATAAAGGACAGGTAAAAGTGATTAAAAGTTCTATTCTCGCTCATTTGGTTGACACAGGTCACCAAGTTGAATTGAATAAAGCTTTTAAGGTTATCTACCATATCCCATCAAATTTACCACATAGTTTACGAGTGCGCCTTTTACACATTGCGGAAGCCATCGCAATCCATGTTCATAAACCTGACCTTTGCATTCAGAAGAAATTTGTTCAACCACTTTCGCTGCCTTGGCCATCTGTATAACATTCCATTTAACTGAACTATTTTCCATACTTGTAGCATTTGGTTTGTAGTTTTTAATTTTGGTTTTTTTTTCCTTTTCTTTTAAACTTTATAATTTCTCAACAGTCATCTCTTGATTCTTACGTAACTGCTATTCTATTGACCAACCATTACAAATTCTGTTCCTTCTCTTTTTCATATATTATGCAACTTAGCAACTTCTTGACTTAATAATTACTTTGAATATTAATCATCTTCCTCCCAAAATACTATATGTTAATTTAAATGTCATTATGTAATTATTACGTAACTTATCCACTCAATGAGTATTATATCATTATTTTAAATCATATATATATATATATATATATATATATATATATATATATATATATATATATATATATATATATATTAGTGTAGAGCCATGATGAAAAACTAATTGAAAAGAAATTTCTTCGCTCAATTCGTTCCTTCTGTATTCGTTGTTATCACCTTCACACTTTTAAGTTGTTCTTCACCTTTCTCGTACTCGTCAAGTGGACAAACTATCTTGCACACATGAATTACTTTGTTATTTGAACTATTATTCAGTAGGATTTCATTAATTTTCATAAGTTGGTGCCTCGATAAGTGAATAGTGTGAACGCATCACAATTTTCAGATCAACCTTATCTTCTTCACTATAAAACCGAAACTCATTGAAGTTGTTTTAGAGGACGACGATTCGCTGACCCTACAACCATATTTAGAACGTTAAAAATATTTATTCAAGCATAAAAACAGATTTCTCATCCCTAATTAAACTAAACTAGCTAATTGAAAAATTAGGATTGTATGTTTTATGTTAAACCACGACAGAATATAATGGTTGTCATTGTAAGAAAGACAATATGAAACCAATACTATATATACTGTGTAGTTTAATTATCTGCTATTGAACTTTTGGGAGTTACTGGTATCTTTCGACTCCCAATCCATAGACAGGCACAGTTTCTTGAAGTGATTTTGGTGAAATAAAGTTGAAAATTAACTGTTAACATGAACCTTTCTGATAAGTAATTTAACAACTTAATAAGTCTATATCACTAATTGATTACGTAAAGCACTTTCAGGAATACTGGTTACTGTAGAGTTTTATTATCTAATAAAGGAAAACTACAATTTAATTACTTCAAATAATGCGAAATCACAGTTATTCTAGTGAAACACCAGCCCATCATATTTCCCGAATTATAGTGTGAAAGAGTCCTTTACACATAGACAATTTAACCATATTTTTATGGAACAATAGCTCCTTTAAAAATGAGTTTCTACCGAGCTGAAGGTCAATTGCTCCTGTGGACAGCAAGCACGACCACTATTACAAGGAATAGAGGTCAGTAAAGCATAAATTGGGAATCTTAGTGGGAAATTATTACATAACACAAACCACTTCTCTGAATAGATCAATATTATAATATGTGGTTATCTCGGACAACTCACTTTACACGATGGATCGAATTTTTCACAACAAACGGTCAAACTCTTTACCAAAGAATCTTCCATATCTATATTGTGTTTTACACCATACCGTAGAAGTTCACTCAAAAATAAAAGGCAATCTGTTTCAGCTGGAACGAAATGATAAAATATCCTGGGGGAAAAATGAGACGTACGCATATATAATTCACATGTTTTTTCGACTGAAATAGTCAAAACAGATGGAAGGCTACCATTGAAATCGACAAAGGCATTAAACTGTATAATCTGACTTAATACAGGGAATGCAAGTGATGATATAGTTCTGTCTGTTGAAGGGCTGGAATAAAATTACAAGAAATGAGTGAAAGGACACAGAACTTACGAGAGATATACCAAATTCCACAAGCCAGGAAATAATAACTCGAAACCTTTTAATCCGATCTAATGTGAAGTCATAAACTATTCGTTAAAACCGATCTTACGATTGATGGATCGAACGCCATATTCGCGATACATTCAATGAGTGATAAGCGAAGGTTACTCGGAAGACTATCCGTATCTGGAGTAAGGGAAAGCATATTAACGTATTATTAGTATTAATATATATATATATATATATATATATATATATATATATATATAAGAGAGAGAGAGAGAGAGAGAGAGAGAGAGAGAGCAAGAGAGGCAGAAAAGTGGGAAACACTAAATTTAGATATCCATTAGATGGCTGCATTTATTTTAGAAACTTTACCACTCTAAACGTGAGAGGTGTATTTTGCATTTTAAATCGATATAATCAGCTAAACAGTTTGGTATGATAACCAAGCCATCTTACACAGGTAAATCTACGGCAATTAAGATACACGAATCGTATGGACTATACATCTCAAGAGTAAACTAACTAATAATTATGACTAGCATTTTTCTACGTTGCGCGAGACCATTGAACTTTAAAATATTCCTGAGGAATTACTAGCATTTGAAGTTTACATAACAAACAAGAAATTTGAAAAGGCTTTTAGTAGGTATATTTTAATCAAACTGGTCTTTCTATAACACTGTACGTATAACTCCTACCTAAAATAAATGAAGAAATGATTACAATCGTGTCAAGATTCTGTTGTATGGTGGCCTAATGACTGAAGCGCTCCAACTACTTCCGTTTGATAAACTTGGTAAGATCACAACCCTTCACACTCAAAGTTTGACGTATATTTAGGTACCTGGTGAGTGAGGTAATTTACTTGAATAAAATTAATTAGTAGATAGACCAAATAGAAGAAGACAGAACCAGGTTTGATGAAACATTTACCAAGTGCACCTTTGCTAAATAAAAAGTAGAGGATTTACCCACAAACCTCCCGACCGTAGCTGCTACCTTGACGTGGTGGTCGGGCTTGCCTATCGTGATGACCCAACCGAGCTATATTGGCTGGAACTCAAGTTCCTGCAGGTTCTACCATGCACGGCAGGTCGATTGGAGAACGGTAAGACTAAAAGCAGCAACTCAAGGTCTGAGGGCGAAGTCGTATTGCTGACTGTACAGAGGGGTTACAGCAGTAAGGCGTTTCCCTCGGACAACCAGCATCTGCAGCGATGCTGCCTTCTCACAAGGAAGGAAGGGGTTAGAAAACGTTGACCCTAAAAATGTCACACCTCACCTTACCCCACGGATTTCCGTCTGCGGCGGTAAGGCCCTTTGAAGAACGGAGCTAACACATTAAAAACCTCCCACAAAAAGGCCGTGCGCGACCGGCCTCAAGCAGTTGTCCCTTGGGCTCTGCGGTCACGCACTCAGGTCGCTAAGACCAACACTAATCCGATTTCCTTTTCAGGTCCCCCGAGAAATACCCTTCCACGGTGTGGGCAACTGGGAAGTGACACAGCCCTCATACCCGTAACAGCACACGAGACCAAGTTGGTCACATTCAAATCTTTCCTACACCTCCTAATAACTCTCTTATCTACACGACTAACCCTTCTCACGTCCCTTTATCACCTCGCCCCGCTAGTGCGAACGATTCGAGTACGCGGAATGTTATTCCTGGTCTCCTGAAACCACGCTCCAAACTACACGTAGGAGCTTTCAACGTCCGAACACTGAGCCAAATAGGACAACAGGCTTCCTTAGCTAAGACTTTAGAATCTCGCTCCATCGATGTGTGCTGCGTCTCCTAAACGCGCACACAGAACCCTAGGAGTGTCATTCATTTGACTGCACCATGTCAAAGTAACGAACCAACTCGATTTACACTTCGTGTATCTGGAAGCCCTGATGCTGCATCCCGTGGCCTCGCTGGCGTAGTTATAGCATTGAGTCCTAGGGCAGAACTAGCTCTCTTAGACTGGATCCCAGTAGACAGTCGTTTGTGTGCTGTGCGACTAAACGGAACAGTAAGGACTGGGAAAGATAGGGACACTCGTCGTTGCCTCTTTGTCGTCTCTGCCTACTCTCCCACTGACTGCAGCTCAGATGATGTAAAAGATGAGTTTTACAGAAAGCTTTCCGACCTTCTCCGAAATGCTAGGCGTTCAGATGTAGTAATAGTGGCTGGTGACTTTAATGCTCAAGTAGGTAAACTAAGCGAAAAGGAAAGACACCTGGGTGGATCTTATGGTGTCGCGGTTCAAAGAACAGATAACGGCGACCGTCTGTTGCAGCTATGCTCAGATAACCGCCTGTTTCTTGCAAACACTAACTTTAAGCATAAGGAAAAACATCTTTTAACATGGCGACCCCCTAATTCGTCTCAACGCTGGACCCAAATAGATCACATCGCTATCAGCCACCGATGGAGGGGCTCGATAGAAGACTGTCGCTCATTCTGGAGCACATGCTTAGACTCAGATCATGCCCTAGTGCGAGCGCGTATTTGTCTACGTCTTACTGGACGTAGGAAACATGCTGCAAGGAAACCCCTTAGGGTCCTACTTAATGATAGTCAAGCTAAGAGTATATTTCAGGAACATCTAGAAAAACAGTTAGGCAGCCATGTAAGTGATACCCATCCCGAGGCAGCATGGAATGCCATCCGAAAAGCTGTAGAAACAGCAGTAATGTCTGCAAGTACGGTAAACCATAAGGTTAGGGAGAAACACTGGATCTCAGCAGCATCTACCGCACTGATAGATGCTCAAAAACTCATTCCATCTGGCTCTGAACATAACGAAGAGCGGAGTCAGCTTAAGCGTAAGCTGACTAGAAGCCTACGCAATGATCGTGAACAGTGGTGGGTAGCGAAAGCAAGAGAGATGGAAAAGGCAGCGGCAATAGGTAACAGCAGGCAACTGTTCAGACTTGTTAAGGAAACCGGTATTAGGAACCCAACTGTTAGCGAAACAATCGCAGAGAAAGATGGACATGTTATTCATTCTCAATCCAGGAGATTGGATCGATGGGCAGAATACTTTAGGGATCAGTTCAACTGGCCTTCAGCCACACTTCGGTTTCCCACGATCTCCAGTCGACCTGCATAGCAAGTTGATGTAAGTCCTCCGACTCTTTACGAAGTTGAAAAAGCTATAGGAAATCTGAAGCGTGGGAGAGCAGCAGGCCCTGACAGGTTTACCCCTGATATTTTTAAGGATGGCGGTCCAGTATTAGCAGCGAGATTGACTGAGGTCTTAGGTAGAATCTGGGAACTGGACGTAATCCCATCTGACTGGTCTCAATCACTGATTGTACCAGTCTATAAGAAAGGACAAAAGTCCTCCTGTGACAATCACAGAGGAATTAGTTTGACTAATATAGTGTCTAAAATATTAGCTTCAATATTACTTCGACACCTAACCAAAGCTCGTGAAGAGCAGACTAGAGAAAACCAGGCTGGTTTTCGACCTGGACGTGGTTGTATTGATCAAATATTCACATTACGTCAGGTCCTAGAACATAGACACACATTCAGACGTCCCACAATGGTAGTATTTCTCGACCTTAAGGCGGCATTTGACTCTGTTGATCGTAAGGTTCTATGGCAATGTTTGTCACTGAAGGGAGTACCAAAGAAGTACGTCAACCTTATAAAGGCTCTCTACTCGAACACAACTGGTCGAGTGAGAGCTTATGGTGAACTGTCATCAGAATTGATTACCTCAAGTGATGTTCGTCAGGGCTGTCCACTCTCTCCATTCTTGTTTAACTTTGTTGTTGACGTGCTTTTAGAAATAACACTTTTCTCATCTAAATTTCCAGGAGTTGAACTTCTACCGGGAGATCCACTTGTTGACTTAGAATATGCCGATGACATAGTTCTATTTAGTGAAGACGCTGACAGAATGCAGAGTCTGCTGACCACTCTAAGCAACAATGCAAGCATGTTCGGCATGCGATTTTCTCCCTCGAAATGCAAAATGTTACTTCAGGATTGGGTTGCGTCGACACCCGAACTAGTGATAGGGAGTGAAGTAGTTGAGCGTGTCGACCGCTTCACTTATCTCGGAAGTCTCATCAGCCCTTGTGGTTTGGTGTGTGACGAAATCTCAGCACGGATACAGAAGGCTCGACTAGCTTTTGCCAACTTGCGTCATTTGTGGTGTAGGCGAGATATCCGTCTATCAACTAAAGGACGTGTTTACTGCTCAGAAGTTCGTTCCGTCCTACTTTATGGCAGTGAAAAATGGCCAGTAAGAGTAGAGGATATTCGTAGGTTACTAGTATTCGATCATAGGTTTTTTCGAAACATTGCTCGTATATCCTGGGACCACCAAGTAAGCAACTCAGTTGTTAGGAAACAGGTACTAGGTAAGGATGGCAAATCAATTGATGATGTAGTGAAACTTAATCAGTTGAGATGGCTGGGACATGTGTTACGCATGCCAGACCACCGACTGCCCCGACGTGCAGGTTGGAAGAAAGTTAGGGGCGGAAAGACCAAAACATGGCACAAATCCATGAAGTCACTGACAAGTGGATTGAGCCATGTTGGTAGGTGTAGACTACCTGGTTGGGGTCCGCGAGTCGATAGCAACCGATGGTTAGAGACCTTGAATGACATGGCTCAAAATCGTTTGCAATGGTGCAGGTGCATCCACTCTTTGTGTTCTCTCAAACTCTAATCTTCTGAATTATTCATGTCCTTTATTTTCTTTCTAAATCTATTCCACTGGACTATACTCCTTAAATAACATCACCAAACCTTAATGTTCCCTATCACTACTTATACTTTCACTACCTCTACCACTACGGGATTTGAATCGATAACTGAATCTCTGTGCTAATGTGGTATGGCAACTCGAACTGATGTACGTACGTACGAAGTTCCACGTTGTTACTGACTGACTGACCCACAAACCTAGATGGTGTTGCTTTTTACCTAGAAATGGCCTTACATAGCTATGTAAGATGACTTGATTGGTTTATCAACATATTAGACAGAAATAAGTGTGTATTTAGCACACAGAGATAGACATAATGACTTCACTAAGATTAACGTTCCATAAATACTTAAGACATGAAAATGGAAAACAGAAAGCTTATCTTAGTAACGAAGCTAGTGGATGTACACTGTCGTTACCTGGACGATAGATATTCTCTTTAAAATGAATACAAATGTAGAAGAAATTGATGAGACACGAAAGCTTATCACATTTACGCATAAGATTAAATGTTGAAATCAAGTAGTTCTATTCCTATTTAATGGGATAGATAAGACAGTAAACAGGTTAGTATATCTAAACCCAAGGTGCAGTGGATCATTTAAACAAATATATAACTGTAGTCCACTACGGTAAGATAGTATATTTTCAGTGTTCGAATACCATGATTACAAAATATGTCGCGACGATAAACATTTAAAAACATATTACAGGAAAAGCAATATCATTAGGATTAAATAAGTATATTAGCCAATATTTGTGTATCTGTATTATGGCAGAAATATCATTTTAAAAGTATTAATGATTTAAAGCGAATAGAACAACATATCATGCACACAGACAAAAAGCAAACTGTACAGATGAGTGCACTCGACCTTTGAATATGAAAGATGAGATCTGGTGGTTTAAACTGGTTCAACTGTCTAAATAGTCAGCCATCTTGTACGCTACATGAGACATGTGAAGGGGTACCCATCAGTTGGAATACAAGTATCAAATTTTCTTAGGCATGCTTGGAGCAAACAGAATATATTATTCATAAGAAGATATCAATCTTAGATGTTTAATAGATCTACAAGCATATATTAAACATCGTCAGACACTGCCTTTTACAAATGCTTGAAGTAGTTTTTACGAAATTATGAAATTAGAATGTACTCAGAGCAATTTCAGTTACATACATTCATTCTAAATCCTTAGTATTTCAAACGAATAATCTTGAAACTTTATAACGACTGAATATTTAATTTTCTTATTTTTATGTACCCGAGTACATATGTCATTGACATTTACCAAGTGCATACACAAGTGATCACAATTTTATCTTGTTTTATCAAGACTTAACCCTTATTCCATTCACTTGTTTTGTATACTGAGTATAAAAACCTCGTTAGGCAATGATAAATCATTCCATAGGAAAGTATATACACAGTCATCAACCGATTTTGGACATTTCGTTGAAACAACGTCGTAAGCACTGTTTTGTTGCCCTTTTTTCATATGTACTTTTTCATCATCTGATTTTTCAGTGATCAGTCTTCCTGAAGATCCGCTCACTGACTTGCAATATTACCATGCTACAGTATTGTTTAATGAAAACTAACAAAATGTATCCATGTGATCACTTTGAGTAATAAAGCAGATATTAATTTTTATTCCTCTAGACGCAAAATTTTTGTGACTGACTCTCATCAAATAAACGTCATTACAGTTGATCTATGTATATAAGACTCGGCCCTACATACTACTAGAATAAAATGGATCAAACTAGAAATTTGGTTATAAAAATAGAACGCAAGACTAATAATAATCACTTACCAAGTAATAAATATTGGGCAAGTCTCTCAAAAGGAATACGGATTGAAGCATTGTCTTTTTCCACAGTTTCGATAGACTAGAATATCAATGTAAATCGAAGTTATTTAATGTGTACTAACATGTAAAACGTCCAAAATGTCACCATCCATAAATATGATGGGACCTTGGATTATTTTGATAAAAGTAGCAACCAGTACCAATTACAGAACCACTGTTTACAGGAAGACTTCGAGCTACAAGGTGACCTGAAAAACACAGGAGCGCTTATTTGAATAAACAGACTGACAAATTATAAAGCGAAATAGATGATTTGACGTTACAGAAACCTTGCAACAATGACTATCAAGTAACAAAATGACGACAGGATATGCCAGAAGTACAACAAACTTTACTAAGCGTGGTCGAGAATGACTAATCGCAATTATAATCCAAACTGAATAACTTACCAGTGTATGTGTAAATAATTTCCTAGAATGAATAGTTTTTTAAACGCCTGAGAGTAATGCTAATCTTGTCAGTTACATTAGATACTAACCAACTTAGAGTGATTGGTCGAAGAGCACTACTAGATTAGGCTACGACCAAGCGCAGAAAGTTTCATACGCTGAGTCATGGACGACCTTGAGTAATCTTAACAATTCTCCAGGGTAGATGTAAGGTTCTGAACGAGTTCGAAGAAAAAGGATAAGAAATAAATTTTTTCCTTATCCTTTTTCTAAAATTAAATTTAAGCGTTATGCCTAGGAACTAGAGTGAGCTTTCGTAGCGAACTGACGTCAGATATAGTATGAAACTAAGTGCGACTACAACTTTAGGACGAACTAATAAAATTCAAGATACTAGGTCTTGGATGTCGACTCAAAATTCATTTATCAATATGTCTAAGTAGTATGTTAGCACTATAGCTTACATCAGTTCGTGACGAAAACACTAGCTTCCAACCCTGAATTCTAACTGTAAGTCCTAATTTTAGTTGCCCACGAAAATAAAAGCCATCTCGAACATTCGCCATCATTAAGCTATGAGACATGAAACTACACTCCAACCTTTTAAGTACCGCCAATATCGAATACTCGCTTCCGAAATTCAAGGTTATAAGTGTAATTTAAAACCGCGAAAGGTTTCGTATCCTTATTTCAAAACAAGAGCAAATTTCCGATACATCTATTTGAGGCTAAGACAAAGTTAACTTTAACAGCTGTAGTAATGTAGACACACTGTGATGTGCATATATTCACTTCATGTTCCAAGGAAAGTTCTTGGCTTTTTTTACGTAGACGGATTTGAAAGCTGTCGTACTGCTCAGATGATTTAAAACTTATGGTAGCTATTAAGTGATAGTGGGTAGTCTTTCCTACGTTTTGTCTGATAATGGCTTAAATGCCATGACATGCCCGAATTTAAGTACGTGTGCATTTGTATCAGTTGGACTAATTTGCATCATAATGCACTTTGAAGATGCCAAAATCTGGAACACGCAGACAATTTCTTTAGATTTTTCGGAACTACGAGCTAACCTTCTCGTGCTGTGCTTTTTCCCATATCTTGATATTACCAGCATATAGAAAAAAGGATGCTGATAGGAGACTTTGAGGGATAATTTAAAGCTACTAATATTTTCGCCATATATTGTTGACTTGTTCTAAAATCCAGCTACCTTCCCGAGAGGATTAGGTTTTAATCTGGTTACTCAGATAACGTCTTACATATAATGTTTCCTAGAACTGTGGTTGAACTTTCAGAGCCACAATTTACATGGTAATGCCTAGCCCCTTTTTTGGAGGTAGAACATGCTTTGAGGTTCTTTTGGTCCTTCGGTGGTTTTCTTTAAGTTACAAGTAGGTAAAATCTCAATATTTCCTGGCTTTATCCTGGATAGTCAAGGAGAAACAAATTAAGTAAGAGTTAGAATACAAATGTTTCTGAATATATATTTAAGTTGTAGATCATCAACGTAGATTATCCATGTCCAATGATTGAGGACCTACTCCAGTTGAACGGGAATGGTATGACAAACCAGCTAACTTTGAAGTCACACCTCACCGTTCGCATCTAACGTGGATTACCTCTTCGACGTATCAAAGTACTGTGGCTGCTTGGAAGACCGTATAACACAAAGGAAGTTTTTATAAAAATGCGTTCAGAGAAGATAGCGAGATCACTACCGCATGCGACAGTCCATAGAATACGATTAACTGATGCTCGTTGGTTGTCCTTGACCTCGATGAGGATCGATGATCTGTTCTATAATCAGTGACCCAACTGCCGGATGATTTGGCTAGGGCCCAGCGACATTTCACTAGCCATACAAAATGCATAAAATAATTGAAATAAACAGTAAAACTAAACAACCAAAGTATTATAGAACTGAGTTGACACAACTAGGATGAAACAATATTAGAATTGGAATGATTCCAGAATTAGAACTTTACAATTACATTAAAGTTATATTAAAATGAGCACTTAGAGTTCCCAACAATTGTATAACAATAACAGTAACACTGGAAACAAAACATCTGAGTCCATCTGTAGCCTTTCTAGCATTACTACATGTCCATAACCTCGATTAAAGGGGAAAACCATGCTAAAAAAAATGCTAACTGCATCGAAAAGCAAGTCCTTATTTGGAGTCCTTAAGGTAGGAGGAAAACATGCACATCAATGAACACATTGTTCAGGAGATAGGAGTCAGACATCAAAATAGTGAACGGTACCTGGCATCCCAGTACAGTACTGATTGAAGATTCTTGGTTGGTTGCCTATTTATTACTATGGTTACCCAAATTCATCTAGTCGAAGGCGTTCGGTCACGCATGCGCGCCAGATCACGAGTGGGTACGTTGTACTTCACATCTCTTTCATCCACTAACCAGCTTATATTGATCACTCCTCGATATATTGATAGTCTATCAAATATATCTTCACACTTCCTCGCTTTTGACTTGACTGGGTTGATATATTTCGATTTTTGTGGCCCTATATCTGAATAAAGTTGGATCATTTCTGTTCGCTATTGAGATATACAAGTTGCCAATTTTCGTATATAACTTTCGACCTAAATGGCGTTAGTGAATAACGAAACTAAATAGGCCAAATAAGAGAATGGCTTTTTGAATGCGTATGTTTTGTACACTCATTGATTTGAACAGACAATCAGAAGGACGAAACAAAGAGAAGAGAGCGAAGCAAAATGATGTTCGGTGCCGAAGGCGTGTGAGCCATCTCATTTAATCAAGCATTATTCAATATTTATAGTTAGAACAAAAATAAGCTACAAACATGTGATGAGTGGGATACGCAATAAATACACATACGATAATATAAAAAACAGTCAGAATAAATAAGCCAATAAATGAAAAGGTCAAAATATGGCTTATGAAGAATGAATGGACTGGCCTAGAATAAAATATGTGGGCTTAACATAGCATGTGACGTTACTTTGTCCTTCACAGATTATAAAGTATGTTAGTGGTCAAGGTGTTATCAAACTCCAAAAACTTGTGGTATCTTTATACGTATTAGTTAAGTGGTTATGCTTGAAGGAATCTATAGTTTGCAGCATCCTAATATAAATCATTTAAAACACGGGGAGTAAGTATCCATTTAAATTACCAACGTACTATGAAATTATATTACAGGTTTATACAAGGGTAGACTAAACCTGATATAAAGTAGACATTTATGGGGCAAGTAGACAAGCAATTTTGATCCTACCGATTATCTTGTAGATTTATTATATAGTTTTCTTGTGTACAGCTTTCAAACTTATACGACTTCGTGTGTGTTTTGCCATCATATTTATTGGCCATTCGAATGACATAAACCCATTACACAGTTCACACTATGACTGATTGCTACATTGGGCCACATATTGCACTATTGATTCACATATCAGTCTAGATAATGTGAGAACTGATTACTAAAGATGCCACAGGTATTCGGAGTTTGAAAACACGTGTACGCCTAACATATTTATAATCGGATTATACCAACCCAGGCAAATCAAAGAGATATTTGAAAGGCTATCAACATGTTGAGAAGCGTTTGGTCTAAACTGGCTAACAATTGCAAAGGACTCGTGGTACGGCGTACCCACTGGTGGTCTGGTGCGGATGCGTGACCGAGTGCCTTCAGTTAAGTGTGTCTAATAAAACCAATAACGTCAGAACCAATCCAACACACATCTAACACAACTTCCGGTCTTCTGGCTGCAGTTTGTTTATGACCAAAACAGTTCATATCTGACTTTTAATATCATTCTACTAAGTGAATGCAATAACGTAGGGAGATCGGTCTAGAAATATACTACGTCAACTGTAGTCTGTAATATTTGAAATAAGACATTGTTCAAAAAGATCACTTAACATTTACACGCGAAAATTTGAGGAAATAATTTTGGAAAGGGAATAATTATTTTTATATAGACCTAGTTTTATAAAGATCCAACAATTCAATTGACTCTGACTTTGTCAATGATAGAATGGTCATATTCTTAGCAAACATTTATAATATTATGTTCATTGTTGAATAAATCAAATGGTTAAAACATATATTTCTTTTAATTCAGTATATAGCTGGACTCTTTCATTCCTAATTGGGTGTGTGACATACTAATATATTAATCTTATTAAAAATCAATAAGTATTCACTACAATTGGGACACATACTACACTTAACTAAGACAATCAACTTCTGTTAACTATACATTGTTAACATAGTAATAGGTTACATTGGAGAAATTTTGAATAAACCATGTATGACAACTGACTGTAAGCTTTTCAATCTTTTAACACTATTTAAAAATATACTTCTATCTGAAAGAGAATTAACTATTGAGTGTATTCAGTACTTATGTGTAAGTAACTCAAATAAAAAAATAAGTTATCCAATATCTTTTCAACAAGTAATGAACCGTAAAATTCCATGATAATCTGCTTAATCCATTTTGTCACATGATAAATTCATAAAATGTATTCATTTGTTTATGTGATTGCTAACGAAGTGCAGATACTATTGAAAATGTATATTTTTCAATTATTCAGGCAACTCAAAGTCGTTAACATCCAGTGATTAATGACATATATTGAATTATGTATAAATCATACATTTCATGCTGATTCAATTTAATATAAAATTTCTTTAATGTATTTATTTTAGCAATCAAATGTCTTTCATTCTTAGAAACCAAACAACAAATAAAGTTCACATTCTTGAAAATCATTACTGACTTATATTAGATATTTAGTGTGCACTACTTCTGCGGACGGAAATAAGTAGTAGAACAACTGAATGATGATCTCCAAATGATGTATTTAGTGTACGATTTTCATATTTTACAAAGGTAGTGTTTAATGTTGCATAAGACAAATTGCTTTCCCCCACTAAGTCTTTTATTTTATAAAAAGTTATTTTAATAATTATATAACTACACTAGCGACCAACTGAGTTTCATTATGATAACTATTCACCTCAATAGGTTTCTTATTCAATGCTATGTCAGTTTTTTAATGAAAAATAAATCAGATACTTAACTCTGTAAATGCTTCGAATTGATTTTTACAAAAGTCAGATAGCATGAGCAGGCAGTTAATACTATTATTATTTATTTTATATAAATATGACAGCTGATGAGTAAAACAAAGATGAGGTTTGGTTAGTTTTGCTAAACAGTCTTTGACCAGCTACTTATCTTATAAGGTTAACAGAATTCTGTCGAATGTACAAACAATTATTTAGAAAAACCACTTTCTTCGGATCATGTTATGTCTAAAGCTTAGATTTTTAATATACAGTGTACAACTTGAGCACACAAACGCTGGAACCTTCCAAGTCGCAAATGAGAAGACAAAAGACAAGTGAAAGGAATGTTATTCCAAACAGTGTCAAATATGGTACAAACCTCACAGGTATTTATAGTTTTTAGTAAAAATAAATTCATCATTATAGTTCTCCAATCCTCATACAGTGGGTTTTTAACATTTGTCCGATAGGGAAGCTACACATAGAGATTCTGGAATATTCTTCCAAAAGATAACTGAATGGAATATTTTCGGCTGTTTCTGAGCTTCTTAGAGC